TGTGGTTAAATCAGTTTAGCCGCGAAGTCAGTCAGCGTTTGCTACTTGTACTTTAAGGACGCACATGCGTCAGCCGACCGGTCAAGGCTTTTTAATCTATTATTACAACGATATTTATTGTTAATTAGTTTTGGATCCAATAAATATTTTAGTTCGTTATAATTACTTGTGTCATAAATCTTTATTTGGACGATCACGCGAAGGACAGTAGCGTCCACCTACATAACCTCAACTACTCCAATCTTGCTTGAGGGAAATAATTGCATCTACTGCACAAATAGCTACAAGTGCTGACCCTCGACTACCAAATCAAGTGTCAAAAGTGTTTTCTCATCATTACGAGAAAATTTTTCTTCACGAAGTGAAGTGCATCGACTAAGTATAACGAACACGCCAAATAGTGGATCGGAGCAAGCACGCTGCATGACCGAGAATTTCTCGTTAGCTACCATACGAGAGGTTTCATAGGCAAACGCTGAAAATCGTATTTCACAAAAAAATCTGCAAAAAATCTTTCGACAGCTTATGACAGATGCTCCAATCGAGTCAACGCAGCTGAGGCAGTGAAGGATGATAAGACTACATAGGTATACGCGTTGGTAATTGGTAAGCGTGTACAGAACTTTACATTTTAAGATTTTCTTTTTCACGTTTAATTAAATGGTTGTTTCAAGAATAGTATGGTAAAAAAATAAAAGTTAGAATCATGTTTTCTTTATTCATGTTTGTCAAACAAGTATAAACATTGTGACTTGGAGTGTGACATGTTTAATTATTGCAGTACAAATTTTTTCTTTCTTCTTGTTATATTAAGTTAACCAAGTATATTTAGAGAAACAATCGTGCGGTGGATTGATGTTGAGTTGTTTACCATTGACGTCGCACATGAATTGATTAAATTGGATTATTTTTTTTTTTTTTGAAAACAGTGCGTTTATTAGCTTATTGGTGACATACAGTATACGGTGGTAAAGTAGAAAATTTTTTATGCATTTTCATTCGTAATAATATATAATTGGAAGTCAAGAATAAATTTTGATTCAATTCTCGAAGTGATAAGAACTATTGATTTTGAGTTTATAATTTTGATTTTGTGCTCGAGGTAATAAATAATAATGGTGGTTACGCGAGATCAGGTCGTGAGGAACAGGCGTGATCAGGCTGAGGTAGCGAACTCTCCGGCAAATGCCCAGAGGGGCGTAGCAGCCACAAATCAAAACGCAGGTACCCCACGCCCAAACACAGGTAACAACCCCCCGGGTGCAAGTGTTCCAGGTAGTAATCCACCTGCGCAAAATCAACCAGGTAATAATCCACCCGTGCAAAAACAATCAAGTGATATTCCAATCGATCAGAATCAAGCCGGAAATAATCCACCCCCTTCGAGTAGTTCGGGAAGTAATCAATCTCAAATATTGCCTCCCATGCATATTCCACCCCCATCGGTTAATATGGTGAACAATCCACCACCACCGATAGTACAGAATATTATCTCTGCTCCTAACTTAGCAATAGGCACTCATCCCCCCCTTCAATCCTCAGTTAATCTCCCCTCAACTAGCCAAGGCAATGGTAGCCAGCCCCCACCTCCTCTGGCGTTCAATCTCTCGTCAACTAGCCAAGGTGTGGGTAACCATTCCCCTCCGCCACAGATGCAGGTCGAGTTTGGACAAAACAGGGTCGACAGGGCAGGTGGAGGTACGCGAATCTTCAGGCGGGGTATTGATAGAGGGTGGAACGGGACATTCAGGGGGCGTGATTACCCCTTCTCAAGAGGTACAGCTGTCGGAACACGTGCAGAATAGAAATACGCATGTGGTAGAATTTGGTGCGGGAATAGTACGCACTAGCACTATGGAGAACGATACAATGTCTGAAGTAGCCTTTGATCAGTCAAGAGTGGGTTCTTCTGTGGCTCTAGAATTAAATCGTTTACAATTGGAATTAACTCGTTTACAGGGTCAAGTATCTTATAAAATTCCGAAACTTCCCCCATTTAATAAAACCGACCCAACTCTTTGGTTCGCGCAAGTAGAAAGAATTTTTGATTTGCGTAATATAACTTTAGAATCCGCAAAATTTAATGCAATAAATACGGAATTAGATTCAGAAGCATCTGCGTGCGTGAGAGATTTAATTTTAATAAACCCTACTCCGGAAAACATTTACTCCGCGGTTAAGGCAAAAATAATAGCAAATTTCTCGGCGACTGCAGAACAACGGTTCAAGCAATTATTAAAGGGCAAGTTGACAGTGCCGGATAAACCGTCTCAATTACTTGCAGAATTGCGTAGACTTAATCAATAATCTTTGTCCTGAGGATTTCTTAAAGGCTGTTCTCTTCGAGCATTTATCGTCATCATGTCGACCTATTTTGGCTCCAATGCGAAATGTCAGTCTTGACGAACTTGCAGAGGCCGCGGATAAGATTTATGATGAAACTGAAAATACAGCAAATCAAGTTTCAGTCGTAGATTCAAATCCTTCCGAATTATCGAACCTAATATCTGAATTGAAAGAAGTTTCTAAACGATTATCGAATATGGAAAATGATATTAAATCTTTAAAGAAAAATCAACGCGGTCGCAGTAATTCTAGTTCGCAGTCAAATAGTCGCGATAATCAAAAAGGAAATTCCTGTAACACGTTGAGCTGGAAGCATCGAAAATTTGGTAAAAAGGCCAAGAGTTATACTCCGCCTTGTTCGTGGTCAGATGATAAAGGGAAATCGTCGGAAAACTAGATTCACATCCTCTCACGGGGACTGTCGGGATGAGTCCTAATAATTCCAAACGTCTCCATATCACAGATGCCAATTCCGGTTTATCATTTTTGATAGACACCGGATCGGACATCTCTATAATTCCTGTAAATAAATTAAACGATAGTAAACCAAGCGATAGGATTTTATACGCGGCGAATGATTCTCAGATTTTTACGTACGGGGAAAAAAGAATGGATTTAGATCTTGGATTAGATAGACAATTTTCTTGGAATTTTTGTGTCGCTCAAGTTCCTCAACCAATCATAGGGGCTGATTTGCTTTCTTTTTATGACCTTTCGGTAAACCTTAAAGAGAGGAAAATTTTCGACATTAATTTTAATCGAAGTATAGACGGTGCAGTGATGGAAGTTTATTTAGTGGGAATTAGCACAGTTGGTAATTCTTGTGTTTTTGCAAAAATTCTTAGCGAATTTCCGAAGGTAACGGGTCTTGCACAGTTCGATTTGCCAATCTCACAGGAGGTTTATCATTACATAGATACAGTAGGTCCTCCAGTTGCGGAGAGAGCTCGTAAGTTGTCCTTAGAAAAAATGATTTTTGCTAAAAATTATTTTCAGAATTTATGCAAACTTGAGGTGTGTCAACCGTCAAAAGGTCAATGGGCATCACCTTCGCATATGCAACCGGATAAAAACGGTTCCTGGAGAGTTTGTGGAGATTACCGGCGAGTTAATTCTAAAACCATTCCAGACAAATATCGGGTACCGTTATTATTAGATTTCACTTCGATTCGGCATAATAAAAATTTCTTTTCTAAGATGGATCTGGAAAAAGCGTACAATCAAATGCCAGTATTTCCTGAGGACATTCCAAAAACTGCTATTATCACACCGTTTGGTCTTTTCGAGTTCCGGGTAATGAATTTCGGTTTACGAAATGCGAGTTCTACTTTTCAAAGGTATATTCATAAAGCCTTGGGAGAATTGCCATTCGTATTCGCTTATATAGACGACGTTTTGGTCGCATACGAAACCCTTGAGCAACACGAGGAGGACGTTAAGGCGGTTCTCAAACAACTCGAGAAATTTGGTCTTCGAATTAATATCAAAAAGTGTTAATTTGGTCGTGAGGAAATTACATTTTTAGGTTATTTAATCAACAAATTTGGAATTCGACCCGATCCGGTTAAAACGGAGGTTATAGTCAATTACCCACAACCAAAAACGGTCACCGAATTAAGACGTTTCCTAGGAATGGTAAATTTCTATCGAAAGAGTATTCCTCATGCCGCTGAATTACAAAAACCTTTAGTACAGTATTTAGGTGAGTCAAAGAAAAATGACAAGACCCCGATCGATTGGACGCCCGATTCCGAAGCTGCGTTCGAAGCGGTCAAGCAGAGTTTGTCACACGCGACATTGTTGGTTCACCCGTTAGAAAATGTTGAAACTCGTCTCGTTACTGATGCTTCTGATCAAGGCATTGGTGCAGTAATCGAACAATTTCAAGACAACAAATACTGTCCAATCGCGTTCTTTTCTCAAAAACTAAATAAAGCGCAAATGGGTTATAGTACATATGACCGCGAGTTGACATATGACAATTTCTCGAGGGTCATGAGTTTTCAGTAGTTACAGACCATAAGCCGCTTACTTTTGCGTTCACGAAAAATTCAACGAGTGCAACATTGCGTCAAACTCGTCAACTTGGTTACATTTCACAATTTACTACAAACATCGTTTATTTGCAGGGTTCAGAAAATGTCGTTGCAGACGCTCTTTCTCGGATTGATAGCATTATCTTACCCACTGAGTTTAGTTTCACCGATTTTGCTCAAGCTCAAGCTAATGACTCTGAATTAGCCGCGCAATTGAAATCAAAATATTCCAGTTTAAAAATGACAAAAATAATTGTCGGTCCGAATGACGAGGAGTTGTATTGCGATATTTCGGGGGAAAATTTGCGAATTTTCGTACCTATTTTTTGCGAGAAAAGGTATTCCAACTTTTTCACAAGTTGGCTCACCCCAGTGCAAAAGTAACGAGAAGAATTATTAGCAAAAGATACGTGTGGCCTTGTATGGCTAAAGATATTACGAAATGGGCGAAATCGTGTCTTGATTGTCAACGTTCAAAAGTGTCACGTCATAATATTCTTGAACCAGCAAACTTTGTTGCTCCCGACTCACGTTTTAGACATGTTCATATCGATTTAGTCGGACCTCTACCGGTCAGTGAAGGGTGTAAATATTGTTTAACAATGATTGATCGATTTTCACGTTGGCCGGAGGCCATTCCGATTCGAGATATCGAGGCTGCGACAATTTGCAGAGCATTCGTAGATGGTTGGGTATCGAGATTTGGTGCCCCAGAAATTCTCACAACCGATCAAGGTCGGCAATTTGAATCGAATATTTTCAAGGAACTTCTTAGAACAATTGGTTGCAAGCTCATTCGAACAACGGCTTATCATCCGGCAGCTAACGGGATGATAGAACGTTTTCATCGTTCAATTAAAGCTGCAATAATGTGCCATGCAACTAGAGATTGGTCCAAAGTCCTTTCAACTGTTCTTTTAGGAATTCGTAATAATGTATTGGATATCGGTTCATCACCTGCAGAATTTTTGTACGGAACTTCTCTGTTTGCCTGGAGAGTTCGTGATTTACAATGATGACGCGCCTTCTCCTGAAATTTTTATCGAGGAATTTAAAAGTCACATGAGACAAGTCAAACCGATACCCGTCGAGCACAGGCATAAATCGAGAGCTTTTGTGTTTAAAGACTTAGCCACGTGTTCACATGTTTTCTATCGAGTTCGAAAATTAAAACAATCTTTGGAACCGCCCTATATTGGTCCCTACAAGATTGTAAATCGCACAAGTGATAGAATTTTTGAAGTTGACGTCAATGGTACTCATAAACAAATTTCGATTGAAAACTTAAAACCGGCGTATTTTTTGAAAGATTTAGAATCGAATTCTTCGTCGAATTTTAGGAAAAAAAATTGTAACAACGATCAAGAGAGTAGCGCTTTAAATTCACGGGAAACAAAAACTGTACAAAATGCATCGAAAAAAGTTGATAACGATTCACGCGATTTAAAGAATCTGAAAGATAGCGATAATCCGCCCGAGAGTAGAAAAAACTAGCGACAAGAAAAACAAAAGTAGTTTAAATTATGAAAATAATTCGAAAACTCAGCATCAATCAATTAATGTTGATGATAATCAACCGTCGACATCGAAGTCAAATCAACATTGCGAAAATGTAGAAAAAAAGACTGACCTAACGATGGTTCAGAAAAAACAAAAATTTAGACCAAACATTTTACGTAAAAAGGTCTCATTTAAAAATTAAGAGAATTAAAATTGGGTGGTTGAAACGTTCTATTGTTTGAATTCCCTCAAAGAAATAATTTTAGTTACTTTATTAATGTGATGAATATTAAATATGTATATCAGATTATTTTATTTATTTTTAGCCTTTCCAACCACACCTAACAAAGATTCTCGCAATAATTATTTTATATTGTTATTTTACGAAACTATAAGACTGACGTAGCTAGCTCAGATTTTTTTTCTCTTCAACTATGTAAAGCTTGTAATAAAAAATAAAATTCCTTCCTATTCTTACAAAAAACCTAGTGTATATTTCATTGTCACTGGGGGGGAGTGATGTGGCGACTGAGGGATAGCCCCCTCACTTTTCGCCCCTGACAAGCGGTTTCTATTAAGGTGAGGTTAGA